CAACCGGGCTGTATATATAGGGTGAGATGAAAAAACTGCAAATAACTCCGACTCCTGTCGTTTCTAAGCCACTAGTCCGACAGCTGTTTAAATTATTTCAGTGACAGCTCAGTAAATTGTTTACAAGCGTACAAAAGCATTTTGTTGAGAATTTTTCAGAAAAAAAGTTATTCGTGATGGAATTCAAGCGTGATAGTGTGATTTCTTTATTTTTGGCTGGAAACCCACAAGTGGCTATCGTTAGAGCACTCCAGCATTTAAATGTGAATAAATCTTTTGTGTCTCGTACCATCACTCGTTATCGTGATACTGGTAGCGTAGCCCGACATCAAGGAAGTGGGCGGAAGAAAACAGCAACATCAGTAGAAATGATTCGAAAACTAAAGAAGGGACTTGATCGAAACCAGTGGCCGAAAAATGACTCGTGAGCTGAACATATCGCAATATTCAATTCGGCAAATATTGAAAAATGAGCTCGGAGTAAATTCATTGAAATTCCAAAAAATGCAAGAACTTACACCGCAACAGAAAGAAAATAGACTCAAAAGAGCTAAAGAGTTCCTTCGCTTGGCCGAAAGTGTTGATCTGCCGAATTAGGTTTTCTCCGATGAGAAAACATTCGTTGTCCAGAGGTTTGTAAAAATAATCGTGTTTACATGCCAAAGAGGTCAGATAAAAATGTGCACCTTCGTTTGGCCACCTGAACTCAAGCGCCTGCCATGGTGATGGTATGGGCCGCCATAACAGCCGATGGTCGCACTCCGCTCGTATTAATCGACTTCAGAATAAATGCCGAATATTATCGCGAATGGGCCAAAATACCGCAGAGCAACATTCGGGCAGCGTATGACGGTTTTACTGGCCGTTTGAAGGCTATAATTCGTGTTAAAAGTGACCAATTCCAACAAATCTGAACTTATTCTAAAATTTGATGCCTTTTCCGGCATTTTTTGCTTTCATTCAATAAAATTTAAAAAAAAAATGTAAAAATTATGGCGTTTGACTTTGTTGCAGTTTTTTATCTCACCCTGTATTTTAGAAAAAAAGTGCTTAAAAATATTTCTTTGGCATAGGTTACCAAAAAACTTCGTACAGGGCTTCTAATTTTTTTTTTAGAAAATCTAAGGAATCACTTTGTTTATCATTAGCTTATTTACAAGCTTTTTAGAATATTTTACAATTTTTATACTCTACGCCAGACTGTGTTACAGGGTATTATGTCTTTGGGCATTTTTTTAGTAACATGCAGAAGGAAACGGATTAGATTTATAGTTCCTTTTGATATTCTTCATAAAATCACATTTTGAGTCGATTTAGACATCTCCACCCGTCTGTCCATGTATTTTCCGATTGAGATGGCATTTTCTATAAACCCTTTGCTTAGCCCAAGGACGAGCCCTATTGAAATTGGTGATAATCGGCCCATATTAAGATGCAGCTCCCATATATGTATATCTTATTCCGATTTCAATTTTATTATGAGCTATATGTTAAATACTCGTTGAAATTGGATGGAAGTCGACCCTGCCCGAATTTTGACCTTTCTTTACAGTGCTTGATCTTTATTTATTTAAAACAAATGCAAGAACAGGGAATGGGTACTTTTCCCTTCATTCCGAATCGCAATACAGAAACAGTTCCTTAGTTAATGAAGATCAAACACTTTTTGTCAATTCAACAGAATTTCTAGAAAATTTTTTGAAATTTTCCTTTTCCTGTATAGCAGACCCCTCTAAAAAGGAAGAGGAAGAGAAGAGTTCATCTTTTTTCAATTACATGAAAAATGAGAAAAAAATTGGTTGACTGAGATTTTGTTTTTTTTTACGTTTTCAATACTCTAAAGTATTTCACAAATATTCATAGATGCATTTTTTTCCTCTAGACACCTAAATACATACTACTATTCATCCTACCAATCAAACATAAGACTTTTTTCCTTTAAAGATTTTCACAAACAAGTGTGAACTACTACTGTAAGGTAAAACAAAGCAAAAAAAAAAAATAGTAGTTGCATGTAAATTAAAACTCCCGTTCATTCGAATTGCTTGAGGAAGCACAAAATTCACATGGACCCACTGATGAGAATGGTAAATATTTACGAAAGCGGATGACGCCAAGTGCATCATAATTACAGCTGCCGGCAAATATTTACTTTCAAATTGAAACAAGATCAAAAAGAGGCAAAGTAGTCTTTTACAAGTAGCCGAACTTAGTTAAAAACACACAATATTTAAATAAGTCACGACTTTGAAAATACCTTAGAACGTAAAGGGCGGAAGGGATTTGAAACTTAAACAGTAGCAGAAATAAAAATATTGAAATTCTTGGAATTTGGTTCTCGTTGTATCTGTTTGAGAACGTAAATGCAAACAAAATTTATGGATTTCTTTCGGATTGAAACATGTTTTTTCTTTGGGGGGGATTTTGAGTTTTTTTTTTTTTTTTTTTTTTTTTTTTTTTTTGCAAAATCAATTGGTATGTCTTGAGATGTTCAATATCCATTGTTTATTGTGAGAATTAATTCAGTAAACATTTGGCAAGAGCGAGGCGATTCAACCCAGTCGGATGACCAAATCAGTGAGGGCGGTCAGGAATGAACCTAGATGATGATTTGGTGTAGGACTAGTATACAAAATTAGGTGGTACGATACTATATTTTATGTACCTTAAACGATCCAATATAAATCATTTACTCAAAGAGTGCCATAACTCGTAAAATGCGTTTTTGACACCATATATAAAATAGAAGGTATATAAAGTTCGTCATTTCATTTGTAACTCATCGAAATAATAATTTATGACCTAACAAATATATATATATTCTTGATGAGCGTAAAATTCTAAGACGATTTAGTCGTGTTCGTCCGTCCGTCTGTTGTAATCACGCTAGAGCCAAAACGAATTAATATAGGAAGCTTAAATTTTGCACAGATCAGTCTTCGAAATTTTGCAGAGATCAGTCTTCAAGTTCAAAGATGGTCTATAGCGGTCCACTATACCGTATAGCCTCCCCATATAACAGTGCACCCCGATATGCGTTATTTTCATGATTTTAACCACATCTATCAATGATATTGTCTGAAAATCCACACAAGGACTTCCTTCTGAGTACTTTATCCTCTGCAAGAGAATTGTCTATATAGGTCCAGGATATATTGATGGTTTAACGATATTTTTTCCGGGACTGTTTCATTTTTAAAAATGTCAACTTATATATTTTTTTTTATTTTAAAATGAAACATAATTGAAATAACTGTGCAAATATATCTCCGAATTGTCTGATCAAAATATTATTTTTTAACAACGAAGTTGTTTTTAAAACGGAAAATTTTAAATTGAAAATTTAAAGATAACCAATTATTTCTCACTCTGTAAAGAGAGGCAAAAAAAAAACACTTGCAATATTTTGTTATTTCAAAACACATACAATCACAAAAAATTTTTGAGGCTCTCTGCCTTGCCCTTTTATAATCGGTAATGTTTTACAAAACGAACCTGATTGTTTTGAAATATCATTGCTTATCACTGGGGTATGCCCCCATGAAGTTATTATTATTCCCTACTACAGAGAGGAACGTTTTTCAAAACGAAACTGACAGCATTGCAAGATTTGCTGATCGCTATCAACATCATGACTTCATCCCGCCGAAAAGATATGACTTTTGAGCAAAGAGAGTTCTTTAAATATTTAGTATTCTCAAGTCAATGAGTATTATACTCACATCTTGTTTTTCTCAAGATCATCATAACAAGTGTTGCAATTTTTGAACCTTCTTTCCACTTGTTGATGTTGGAACTAATTTTGATGTGGTTGCAATGTTCAAATGATACTCCTGATGACAAAACTTAAAATTTTTCTGAGCCATAATCCCTACATGCTTTGAACCTAGACCAATAAATCTGAAAACACTGATATTTTTGGGACATGTTTTTCGAACGATATGACAATGTGATTTTCAACGAGAGGTCAATGAGAATTATACCCACATCTTGTATTTCCCAAAAAAAAAAAAACTTCATAACCTTCTTTACTCTTGTCGATGTTTGATATACTTTTATTGTTATTGCGATATGTTGAAATACATGATTTTAACCCATACCCATCATAAAGATAGGATCCCAATCATTGGCATTTTGAAGGCCTATAATGAGCTGTAATTTAAGGTTTCTAACCTTGCAAAATTGCTTTCTGCAGTCGAAAAACATCGCACACATTTTTTTTCAAATTTCTTTTATATTTTCTTTTGAAATGGATTTTTATACCCTCCACCGTGGTAATGGAGGATATATTAAGTTTTTTCATTCCGTTTGTAACACCTCGAAATATACACTAAAGAGCCCACAAAGTATATATATTCTTGATCAACATAAAATTCTATGTCGATTTAGCTTCCGTCTACAGTCTAAGATAGAAAATTGTCTGTGAAGGTTCACGTCTTCTTATAGTCCCCATACAACGGCATCTCCTGATATTCGGTATTTTAATGTTTTTGGCGACATTATTCACCGGAATTATTTTAAATCTGGTATTTGAATTTCGTAATGAATACTACAGCCTATGACAAAAATTTATCTGTGCAGGTCCAAATCTTCGTATAGCCTCCATATAACGGTACCTCCCACTATTCAGCATTTTGATGATTTTAGCGACATTATTCACCGGAATTGTTTCAAATTTGGTATTGAAGTTCGTGCAGGTCCACGTTTTAGTATAGCTACATTATTCAAGTTTCGCATTTGAATATTGTAATGGCTTATGACAAAAGTTGCCTATGCAGGTCTACGTCGTCGTATAGACTCTAATACAACGGCTTCATTCTGTAGTTTTAAGATTTCAACAGAATTTTTAACGGTTTTTTTTGAAAATTGCCAAATTCGTTCCAAATAGTGGAGAGTATTCACAGTCCGGCCGGTAAAAATCGACAACACTGCCAAAAACTGTGAACACCCTATTTTCTTAATTTCGAATTTAAAAATACTAAAAAATAAATTCCTTTTACCTTTTTTCCAGTTCTTGATGTTGAAAATGCTTTTGTTGTTGCAATGTTCAATCGGTACTCTTGATGTGATGGGGTTTCGCAAAATTCTTGTGCAATAATCCGTTTTTAAGAGGTTTTCAAAATTTGAGATGCTTTAACAATTTCAATATATATGTATACACTTGTATTGTTAAATATTTCATATATATTTTTTAATATAATATTTTATATTTTTAATACTTTTGTTCCATTTATTTATTTATTTTTTAAATTTAATTCACTTTAAATTTATATATTTTTTGTGAAGTTGATGGGTATTTTTTTATTTTATGTATATTATATATTTTCCATATAAGCATATATTGAGTTGAATTATAAAAATTGCACTTATTTTTAGATTACATATATATATTTTTTTGTGGCCAATAAAATATTTAGTTGCACTAATATATATATTTTTTTGAATATTATTATTATTTTTTTTATTTTTATGTATAGATAAATATTTTGTATGGTAATTAATTTTAATTTGTAAATTTTTCAAATAATTTACAGTTTGTAGTTATTTATTTTCGTTTTTTGTTTTGGTTTCAATTTATCCAAGAAAAAATCCCGTTAGTTTGAGTCTCGTTTAGTTTTCGATCTGAAGATTTTTATCGCACAATTATTAATAATATTTTTAATTATTATCCACATTTTTTATCGGCTGTTTTAAATTTTCTCCACTTAATATTCCAACAATGTAACGATTATTCGCTTGTAATTCTTTTGTTTCTTTTTTTTGGAAATTTTCTTTATTTTTGGGGAAATTTATGAACTTTGATTATTTTCTGATTATAAATGGGTTGGTTGGTTGTTAGGTTGTTAGAGAGATCCATGGGGTTACCAACAACAAATGAATGACAATCAAACAAAACAATGAATAATTTTCCAATCGACCGAATGACCGACGACCACCAACAAAGTGTTTTTACACTGTCCCCGAATGGCCAGGCAGGCAGTCCAGTCCAGTCCAATGGTTGGTTGGCTGGTTGGTTAGTTGGGTGACATATACAAACTGCTGCACTTTATCCACAAATTTATTCATTAACAACAATCAAAACTGGATTTAAATGCAGCAAACACACACAGGGGCAACAACAAGAAGAAAAATCTTCAAAACCGTTTCTTGGACGGACAGTTTGTGAATCGGGTTTGTAAAGAATTCGGAGTCATGACTGAGAATATCTTAGCTAAGCAAGTAACTTGTATGCACACACTAGGCTGTTGTTGTCTATTCTTTGTGGTTTGATAGCAACTTTGGGGCCCGATTTTAAAATTCCTTCAATGTATCATCATCAAGAACCTATCTTCATCATTATCATCATCGTCGTTGTCTTCACACACGAAAATTCATTCACTTTTGGCCTTTTCTCCACTTCACAGAACCCTGTATGGTGGCCCCACTATTCAGTTGGAGGGGTTCTCCACCAACGAATCGAACGAAAATCACTTTACAAAGAGCCAACATAGACCCAAAGCATTTCAATTTGACCGTTGTTTTATTTTCTAGCAATTTTTTCGTTTTTTTGCTTCTTTTCTGCTGCTTTTTTTCTCAAAAACTATGCTGTAGAATTCTTGTTTTTATCGAAATATTTTCTCTGTTTGTATCTAAAATGGCGCACCAGCAATAAATCGTAAAACCCGTCCGGAAATTATTCGAAAACTTGTCATGTGAAAGGCAAAAAAACTGATGACACGCGTATGCCTGAAACGCTTCACATAATATCCAAGAGTAGACTGAATTTGAAGTTCCACACAAAATACATTGCAACAGTCAGCTGGGCCAGTGCTGATGGTGCGTACACAAGACACAGTCAGGCAGGCAGGCAGACAGCCACGCAACTCAAACACAAGTTGGAGTACCAACAAACAGCGGCCAACACCACCAAAGTAACCCTCACGAAAGAAACAAAACAAACAAACGGTAAACACATTACAGCCAACCATCGCACACAACATTACAATGCAACTCAAACATGTTCGTCCTCCACTCTCTCTCACCAAAAAACCTAAAAATCCCCAACATCCACAAAATAAACAAGCAGAAATGAAAAATCCGCACAATTCGTTACTTTAATGCCCCCATTCCAATGTGGGGAGCATTTTGTCTGATTCAAACATGTTGTATGTTATGTGCCTTCAAACTCACGACGATGTTGATGATTTCGGCAACTATAAAATATGGTTCATTATGTTATTGACTTTTCATTGGAGAGGGTGGCAAACAATTGCCTTTGGGGTCTTCGAGAATAGTGTATGGTCGTGGTGGTTGTTGTTGTTGGATGACGGAAGGGATTTTCCATTTCATTTTATGGAAATCACAATGGCTTACACAACACTGCAGAAAATGTGTGGCTATTTGGTGTTTAATTGGAAATTAAAGTATTAAATTTAAATAAAATTTTGCGTGAAATTATTTCATACGAATTTATTTTGGATAACACAAATAGTGCAGAATTTGTTTTCACGGAAAGTTTAAGTGTCGAAGTAATTGTTACTTTTATAATTATACCCTCATTCATATGGCTACATAATGTGATGGCTATATAATTTGATTCGTCGTAAATGTACCTCATCGAAATAATGGATTTAGAACCTAGGTCTCTTTAGAAGAAATCCGCTTCAAGTTATATGGAGTCTATCTAGTGATGACCTTCCATCCTCTGGCTGTTGCACACGGATGGAGAATCTGATTTCGTCCAAACTTGAGATATCATAACATTATTATTATACTTAGAACGAGTAGTAGTAACTTATAAAGTCCGAATATGTTTTCCAGCTTTCTTTAAAGATTGTACTTTAATACTTTAACTTTAAGTAATACGATGTGATATGTTGGTATAATCTTTATGGACCGATAAAAGGTGTAAATAAAGAAATGGTCTAATGTTAAGGATATATATCTGTCGCAAACCGACTTCTATTATTACGTTTTTGGTATCATAAAAATATATTTTTTTATACCCTCCACCATACAAAGTATGGAAGGTACATTAAATTCGTCTTTCCATTTGCAACTCATCGAAATTATAATGTTAGACCTAATAAACAATATTCGAAGTCAGCCAAAAATTTTAAGATGATTTAGACATGTCATATATCGGTCAATGATATCGTATAGTCCCCATATAACGGTACCCCCGACATTCGATATTTTGATGATTTTAGCCCTATTTTGCAATGGAATTGTCGGAAATCCTACACAAGAAGTTCCTTGTGAGTACCTTACCTCTTGAAAGGTCTACGATATCATATATCTCCCATATTCCTCCCGATATTCGTATTTTCATGATTGTTGCTATATTTTTTACATGGAATTGTGAGAAAATCAACACAAGTTGATTACGATATCATATATCTCCCAAATAACCCCCCGATATTCGATATTTTGATGATTTTCGCAACATTATTTACCGGAATTATTTCAAATTTCGTATTTAAAGTTCGTAATAGGTACTAAGGCCTATGACAAACAACCACGTCTGCAGGTCCACATCTTCGTATTGCTCCCATATAAAGATACCATCCGATATGCGGTATTTTGATGATTTTAGCGATATTTTTTAACGGAATTAATTCAGATTTCGTATTTAACGTTCATAATGAGTAGTACAACCTATAACAGAAAATTGTCTATACAGGTCCACGTCTTCGTATAGCCAACATTTAATGGTACCAACGTTTTTGGGTATTTTGATGATATTAGCAACATTATTAACCGGAATTGCTTTAAATTTCGTATTTGAAGTTCGGAATCGGTACAACAGGCTATGGCAGAAAATTGCGGTATTCGTATAGCTTCCATATAACTGTTTCACTTAAACGGTATTTTTCGACGGATTTTTTTATTTTTCAATTTTTTCCCATATTTTGGAGTGTGTTAAAAGTTTGTTCCGCCCGAACTTAGCAGGTTTCTTACTTGTTTGTTTTTCACATTTTTAAATTTAATTTGGGGAGGGTTCTGAAAATACTCTCGTTGCTGTCCAATATATGTATATTTTTAGTATAAATGGAGTATGCATATTAACATTGTCATTCCGTTTGTAACACGTCAAAATATTCGTTGGAGAGTCTTAAAACATTCATATTCGTCGTGATCTGCATATCAGTCGAAATTAAATTTGCCAGAAAAATGTGAAATACTCCGGTTATATACTACTATACACTATATACGATTATCCACGATTATGTTTTGAAGGTTAAGGTTTAATAACAATATTTCTTCGTCATAATGGTTTTTATAATCCAATGAAAGGAAAATCTAAATTTCATGCAAATCTAAAAATCAGAATATTATTTTGAAACCAGAAACTACGAAATAAGAAACTCAAAAATTAGGAAATATTTTTTTTCATATACTTGAAAATTCTACTTTGTATGCGGACAAAATAAATTTATATTATGTGAATGTATGAGTGATCCTTTATCCCAAATATATAGTTTTAAATAAAAGTCCATTATCTTTTCTTATAAATTTACCGAGTAATTTCAAAACACATCAAAAATAGTCACCTTTTATATGATAAATTCATACAGTTGAACAAAATTGTATTTTTCTGTCAAATAAATTTCTAAAACTGGCACATAAGAATATGTAGCTTTGTGTTTTTCTTCCATTGTAAAAAATAAATATATTAAATATATACCGTGATTTAGTATCAAAATGCAAAATTATAACGATGTTCTTGTTCTATGTATCAATTTTAATACCATTTAATACTTTTCACACACGGTATAGAACATTTTTGCAAATCGGCCCTTTTATGTAACAGCTGCACACTTACTGTATTTTTATACTCCCTACCGAATTCAGTGCCTTTCGTATTCTAAATAGCACGCACTTCCTATAACTGTCCCTTGTCTAACCCACAGTTGCCTTCAATTAATATTAAAAAAAATCTACCTTCTTATCTAACGCTACACAGTCATAATGATCCCTATACCAATATTCACAATTCTAGGTCTTTTCCTACACAGTATATAAAATTAAGTACCATTTAGCACTTTTCGTACACCTTTAAATTAGGAATTGCCAAAATTGGTCTCCTTATATAAACATTCCCAGTTATCCTAATACCAAAGTTCATAGTACTCTCTTACTCTCTCTTCCTATGCCATATCCCAAATTTAGTACCATTGAGTACTTTTCGTACACTTCTTGTACACATTTTCAAAAATACTTCTTTTCATAATAAATTTTTATCACTCTATCT